CTCGCCTCTGCTTCACGGCACTCTCGCAGATTACTTGCCTTCTTCTCGACTCACCGCAGACTACAAGGCAATCTCCTGGCACTTGCACATTCGTCGGCAACGAGGCTGCACTATCGACCTCCGGTCTGAGCAGGGGGTGATGTAGCGGCGCTGTCGTCGCGCCACAAGCGAAATACACCGAAGCTTAAATCACACTATCAACATTCCGAATCATATACAGTATATATAGAACTTCTCCGAACTATCACTCGGAGTGTCAGCCGCTCCCCGGGCAGAACACCTTGCCTGGCGGGAGATCTCCCCTTTTCCTACCACGGCCACATGGTTGTAGGTTGTAGCACGATCGGTTCAAATGGAGAAGAACCACGTTCTCACAGAAAACCAGCGGAATGTAGCGGCAGCTGCGTTTCGTATGGTGAGAGTAAACTACCAGAGAACCTCTTTTAGTGAAAACTAGTCATTACATTTTAGTTCTGAGGGGTGACAACGGGGGACTATGGACTAGCGAATTCACGTACCATCGGGTAGACTGTGTACGCTCATTTGTCATCCAAGAAACTTTTTGAACACAACCGGTTATAAATTTTCGATTTTAAAACGTTTATCTTTTAGTAGAAAAAGATTATAATTAAGTAATTAAGCATATGATACGTGTTATATTGTTTAAATTTACTATGGGGCTCTCTAGTCCCTATCCTTCAGCCAACCAGCGCCCTCCTTCCAAGGAGGGTTCTTAGAGATCTCTTCAATCTACCAATTCCTAAAGAAATCACCATACCCCTCCCCCCCCATCCTTCGGGCGCAAAAAAAAAAGAAAAAAAAACCGAAACCCAGCAGTGGGTGCATTCCCGTTTGGAGACAATGGCAATAGGTAAAGAGAGTGCTAACGACCCAGACTGAAATGAAGCCCTTATACAAAGAGTAATTTTTTATAGAATAGGGTGACAAAAGAGCACACAGTCCACCTGATGGTAAGTGGTTGCTGTGGCCCATAGACATCTACATCTATCCTCGATTACGAATCAAAATGCAGATGCGTTTTCACCCGTGAGGACTAAGATGATATGCCTCGTTTCCAGTAAAAAGGGTCTCCGGTTCTCTACACTCACCATACGAAACACAGCAACATTAAGCTACTATTTTACGCCGGTATTATGTGAGAGCGGGGTGCTTCTCCGGTCGAGCCGACCTATTCGTGCTACAACTATACTGTTATAAAACTGCAGCATGGCTCTACCACGTATTAATTAAATAAATAAATTTAAGAATGTTTGATTTAAAACATTACAGATGCACATATAATAAATATGGCTATGTAACCATCGTTAAACTGCTCTCCCTTGTTCGTAAATATCTGTATTCATAATAGCTGGCTAGTTTAAATAAGTTCCTAACACAAAGTACATTTTTATATAGATACGTACATCTTATACATAGGGTACCAACTATATCTGCATTCATTACGTTACTTATCTTCTTAATTAGTCGCTGTTGGACTTATTAGGCGTTAGATTATAGTAACACACACATTATTTCGAATTTAACAATCGAGTTTTTTTTTAATTCCTTCCCCTCATTAAAAAAAAGCTAACAAACTAACAAAGGACAGGCTAATTACGTCTTGAGGCACTATCTGCCTCAACTTATAGTGACGAATGACTGACGGTGTAGCAGTGCAAAAAAATTGAAACTCGTCGAATCGTATCATGTGACGAAGGTTAGTGACGTTTACTCTAAGATAAAAAAGCGAATATAGGTCATTTAAAATGGAGAACTTAAAATATATAATGGAGCTTAAAGCGATTCCAAAATTAATGCGATATTGTGTTATAAGGAGGTGCTACCACTTTTTAAAAAGGTCTGGCTAACACACATCTTTAGCAAAAAGGTGTGTTTTAGCAGGTTGCCGTGTAGTGGCGACTAAATATAATTAATTACCATGAAAATGCTACCCACCTATGAAAATGACCGAAAATGTTTATGGCTTTCAATAAATGGCGGTATATTAAACCATATTATTAACGCCAGATGTTAAATACCCCGACCGGAGACGGGCGGCAGTGCGTGTTCAAAGAAGCGAGGATGCCCATTTTCAGCAGTGGATTATTACTGCCTGGTGTAGAAAATGGTTGAGCCATCACTAAACGAAATTGCACGACAAAGCTACGGTTGCCATCATTTTTTTTTTTTTTTTGAACAAATATAGTATTTTTCCCAAAAATTTATGCAAAAATATAGTACTTTTGAAAAATTGAGAAGAAAAGAGTACACAATAATTGTTAAACTATGTATTTTTTCATATATATACAATTGACTGAAATACAGTATGATACTATATAATACTATATAGTACGGGTGGTAACCCTTGACATAGCCGACACTTTGTCTGTGTGCGGTCTTAAATTTTAACTACCTTCGTTTTTTAGTTTTATGTATATAATACGTATGTATTTCATGAAATAAAGTAACTCAAAATTAGAAGGGCTATAAATACAAAAGTAGCGATTAAAAAAAACAAGTTTATATAAACGGCGGCTTGTTGATTTATATAAAGGTACGTTTTACTAACGTGACTAAACAACGTAAATTTACCTATTCTGAATTAGTTATTTATTACATAGCGTGTCGTGCACATAAAAATATATACTTAATGAAGTAAATTGACTGTGTAGTTAGTCGGAAAGTCACATTACATTTGGCCTTTGTGATTTTTATTCACAAGGCGGATTTATTTCCCTGCCCATGCATAGCTTTTATGTTAAGTACCTAATACGTTATATTCATAAAATAAAATACAACATAAACAAATTTAAAATTACAGCGGTATGAATAAAATTGTTCAATTGTTTCACTAAAATATTCAGTCAGATTATATTTTATTTGAAGGATAACTTTTATCTCACGATTTAAAATTTCGACCCTTTAAGAATTAAAATTCGAGTAACTTTTATTTATAAGGTTCTATTACTTTTATTTTACTAGTCATGATACTGAATAATATGTTTTAAAAGAATTAAAATTCGACCATCAAATTAAAATCGGTAAAGTAGTTTAGGAGTCCATCGCGGACAAACAACGTGACACGAAATTTATATATACTAAGACTAGCTTGCAAGGCAGACTTTGTTCTGCTTTTTTCGACGACCCTTTGTCATGTACTATTAAAAATCCTTAAATTCGCACATCCTATCTCTCAAGCTGGACCAGACTGCACACGGTGTGCAAATTTGATTAAAATTGGTTAAGTAGTTTAGGAGTCCATCGCGAACAAACAACGTGTAATTTATATATACTAAGATATAACCTAAGTTTATCATCGTAAACTTAGAATTACTTAGGTATGCTTTTTGGCTAAATGCCGTAAAATTTATATATTCTAGAAATATTCGCAGCTTTAGCAGCGCCCAGTACAATTGTAATAATCTGTTACTAATATATTTCATGAAATAACTTGCGATAAAATGATATATTTGCAAGTGAATATGATTACAATAATATTCCATTGAATTTAATCAGTTGGTGTGAATTCAACTATTTTGTCCCAGTAATTCTAATATGAAAATGAAATTATGTATGTAAATCGCCATTGATGTTAATACCGTATCCTTTCCAGTCCAGTAGCTTGAAAACGTCTTCCAATGCAGCGGTGAAGAGTTTCGGGGATATAACGTCACCCTGTCTTACACCTCTCTGCAGTTGGATAGGTTTTGAACTCCGGTTCTGTACTCGGATAGCCATCGTAGCCCTACTGTACAAACACTTCAGCACTTCGATATACCGACAGTCAACTTGGCACCGCTGAAGAGACTGTAGCACCGCCCAAATTTCGACGGAATCAAAGGCTTTCAGATAGTCCACATACGCCAGGCAAAGTGGCAGTCCCGCAACAAACGAGTATTTATATGGCCTACAAATAAATGTTCCGGGGGTTTGGAGTTTTATCCTTGTGCAATTTATTTATGTAAAATACCTCCACGAAACAGAAGATAATAGAGTGGGAGTAACATTTTAACATTCCGTCTTAGTCCTAGTTAGTTTTCTTCCTCGCACAGCTTCTTTGTGGAATCCTCTACCACGAGCGATTTTTCCGGACCGGTATGACTCAGAGACCATTAAGAGCCCACTCTCTTTTAAAAGGCCGGCAATGCAATTGAAATTCCCCTGGTATGCAACACCACTTGTCCATGGGCGGCGGTTGACACTTTCAATCAGGTGAGTCGCGTGCTCATTTGCCTCCTCTTATGTAAGAAGATAGTCTTCAAGGTTTGAGAACGAATTTGTATTTTTATATGCTAGGGTTGAATCTAAATGACAGGGTGAGAAATTGCGTGATAAGAGATAAATGTGGTATGCAAGGTGATGTTGTGACCAGGATTAAGAAAGGAATGTTTCGGTGGTTTGGTCATGTAGAAAGAATGAATGAGGAAAGAGTGACAAAGCAAATTTAAATGGCAGATGTGAACGGCAGAGTCGGGAAGCGACGCCCTAGAAAAAAGTTTATCGTCCAAATTGGCGATATTTTGAAAATGGGCCACGTTAGAAGTACCCTTAACCGACGAGTATGTATGCGTAGATATATGGATGTAAAGGAGGCGAAAGAGGTATGTCAGGATCGTGCCAAATGGAAGTCCGTAGTCTCTGCCTACCCCTCTGGGTGACAGGCGTGAGTGTTTATTATGTTTGTATTTTGATTCTTAATTCGGCACACCATCACTCAACATCAGGTAGATCGTGTGTATATTCAACAGTCTTCATTATATTCAACACGACTAAGGCGCTGCGGGCCACGGGATCGAATTCCGCGAGGAACAATTCGTCGCTAACGCCGCATAGGGCAAACCTCAATTTAGCTACCTTTTATCATTATAACATTAATCGTATTTGTAGTTTTCTATTAAATCTAATATTTTTGTTGCTGCTATAACATATACAGAACCGGTGTTGCCATGGCACATTTTTTTAAATAAAACGAAAAGGAACATATTATTGTTAGTACTCACATTCTGTTATGAAGAAATTCAACAGCGTCAATGCGACAGTGTGTCCCGAGAACATATAGTCGCCACACGTCCGGACGCCCCTTACAGACATTCCAGCTCCGCTCCAAATATCATAGGCCTGTTTGAGCCTTCGCCCCCATACTGTGAGGTCGTCAGCAGGTGGATAGAAACGAGGTTCACATTTCAAGTGCGACCCAGGCACCGAAAGGGATGTAATTAGCATCGTGAAGCATCGCAACAGGAACACAGTACCAGCTAACGCGAAGAACCGCCGAAGTATTATAAATCTGATGGAATATAATAAACTTAATATACTTAAGCGCATTTACACTTGCAAGATCAGACAAAAACAAAGTTTTTAGCATACAAAATAACACAGAGTGAATCTTTTGGCAACTATGTAATACGACGTGTATTACGGTGTACGCAACATCTTTAGTGATGAACACACTAATAAACAAGTCAAGACATTTATTTCCGTAACATTTTGGCACCTTTCTAAAAGAATGCCTTTCATGTTTTTCTTGAAGATACAAAAATTGGTTAGAAAAATCGTCACTATATATTACGTTAGCTAATTTTTACTTATAATTCGAAAAAATAACTGTTAAGAGAGACAAAGAGAATGACTTCACTTGACAGACAAATTAAAAAGATATCAATGATTATTATTTCTAAGATCTACTCGGGGACATTCCTGTTTTTAGCAACAACAATATAATTAGGGACAGTCATTTTTTTTACCTGTTAAATATAACATGGCGATAGCTTCAGGACTGATATTTAGAAGTTTAACTTAACTATGCATTTGATATTTAGAGCTAAGCGTACTTGAAAGATATATGATTTAAAAAAACCTAAAACTGAATTTCAAAAAAAATTTGAATTATCATATCTCCAATCACATCTATCCAATTGTTCTGTTTATTTTCAAGGTATAATCACAATAACAACAAAAGCCAAAAGCTATATATATATGTATCAACTTGGCACCGCTGAAGAGACTGTAGCACCTACCTCTTCTTACTACACCTAAAATAGGACATGAGGTAGTGGACAAATGCTTTTTATATTATTTATATATATATATATATATATATATTAGTAATATATATATATATATATATATAAATAATAGTAATATAGTAGTAATATATATATATATATATATATATATATATATATATATAAATAATATAAAAAGCATTTGTCCACTACCCCATGTCCTATTTTAGGTGTAGTAAGAAGCAAGAAAGAGAGAGAGAGAGACAGAGAAATTGAAACATGAGATAGGCTGCAGAATTTTCCTGATGGCAGTTGAAAATAATAAACTGGTTACAACCCATACGCCAAGCATGGCAAACTGTGGAAAATCACTTATATGAGACAATCTATGGGGGAGACCTACATTTAGGAGTAAACTTTTGATCGGCTTTAGTAAATAAATGAATAAAAGAATTAACATGCATTTAATCAATCTGCCCAAACAATGATAGTACACTGTGTTTAGATACAAAGAAATTGTCCCTTAAAGCACAGTTTATCAAAACATAATTGACTAAAGTACAACAATGTACTGTAATTTACCTTAGAGTATTTATAAGCAAAGCTTGCTTATTTATATTCTAAGGTATTTACATAATAGACAATGTGTACCAATACAGTATTATGTAATAATTACTGTTATTATCTTATAATTACCTAAGCAAATAATAAGTGATTATAAGGTAATCTATTGTAATTATAGCATCTGTATGAGTGATCTACACCTTTTATAACTATAAAGGGATGACAGTAAACAATAAAATATGAAAATATCTTATATAGAATACTTTTTACAAGCCGAGCCATGGTAGCACAGATAGTTAGCGCTCGCTGTAAATTTCACAGTACACAAGCAAACTGAGTTTGATCCCCACTGGCAACAATAAAATCATTAATTGCAATTTTATGTGCTGATTTACCACATGCTCGGCGGTGAATGAAAACATCATGTCTAATAAATAATAATAAAAATATTTCGAAGACATGTAAAGTTCGCCAACACGCAATAGGCAACATGCGGCGGAGACTTCCTTGCCCTAAAACCTTCTCAGAAAAGAGGGGAGGCCTGTGCCCAGTAGTGGGACATATATAGCCTGCAACTTTACTTTTAACGAACAACTGCTGCGTGGAGACAGAAAAAGTAATAATTTTTGTATCTCAATTTAGAAATATTTAATAGTTGTTGCCAAGTAAAAAAAATGTAGGGCATAGGATAGGGTGCCTATGAATTAAGATTCTAATAAAAACACCTGTGTTGGTTGACTTCTGCGAGATTACAACATACAAAGTTAATGTTGTATTAGATTTGGTCTATGATTTTAGAAACCAACAGGCTTTCTTACATTAGCTTACTTTTTTACTTTAATTAAGCAATAATTATCGCTACATCTGTATCTTTATATTGTCACTTTTCATTCAAATTTAAGCATTTCTAAAATTGACATCAATTTTTGTAAGTAAAAGTATATTTTTATATGTCACAGCCAATGCTTTAAATATTCTATATTTTATATAAGATTTAAAAAAAATCTTTCCTGAAGCATACATTACTACTTTTGATTGATTTTATTTAGTATTTGTAAAGGTTAAATTAATTTTCTATTTGTATATTCTTACTTAAATTTAAAAGATATTATATTTCTATTTCTGAAATTTAAAAGATATCATTGCTATTCTCCATTATTTTTTAAATTGATAAATAAGGAAATATTATACTAAGATATGTTATTATAAAGATAACTATATACTATAGCAAAGACTGTATACAACCAATTTGCAATATTATAGTTTTAATTTTATTGAATAACAAAACATTTTCTGTTACCTTTTCTAGAAGAAATGCAAACAAATCCATTAGTAAAATTTCTACAAAATAAAATGTATCTTTGTAAAGAACAAAATTAACACTTTCTCTGATCTTCAATGAAGTAATAATAAATAACAAACATAAAAATTATATATTTAATAAACCTTACCTTACTACCATAAAAAAATTATATGATGAGATAAATTTAGTATCATAGTGTGGTGGCAACATTGGGTAAACATAGTGTGGTGGCAATGTTGGGTAAACATTTTCTCAATTTCATCTTTTGATTGTCTATAAGAGACAACTTAGCCAAATACTGAGATTTTGTGGCATCCAATAGGCACCAATAACAATAGGCATAGTAGCATGACACATATATACACTCTGTATACCATGTCAATATGAGTGAGTACCTCCTGTCCTGGCACTTGGAGTCAACTTTAATGGTGCAAGATATCTGATATTGTTTATGGGCTAATGAGAAGAGAGAAGTAATAAATAACTTAAAAATTCATAGCTGCAAGTAATCTTCTCAGAAGAATATTACATTTTTTTGTTTTTATGTTATTATGACATGAAAGTATTTTAAACTGAATTCTTTACAAGTATAATCTATGCCAGGTATCACATTTTGCAAAGTGATCAATATGTCATTATTTCTAATAGGTACATTACAAATTTTATTAAAGATTATATATACAATACTAACCTATGTTTATGGAAGAACAGCACGACCAACCATATGGCCAGCAGTAGAGATCCAGTTATTTCACACATATCAAAAGCCCATGGAATATGTGGTACATTATCTAAGAACAAATCTGGCAGGGGAGGATATTTTTTCATGTCTGGTACCTTATCATGCACAATCACCATTACTACAGCTGTTACCCATGTAACCAGAAATACATAACCTTCAAAAAAAAATCACAGTTTAGAACTCCCAGAACTTTCAATGATTAAAATATACAACAAAACAAAAGTAAAATTTTCGTGATCAAATGAATATAAAGCGGATAAAATTTTGGAAAGTAACATACACACCAAGAGCAATTAAAGTTTTCCAAACTTCAGGTCTTAATTTAGATGCTTTCACTTCAGGAGTAAAATTTGAAATGCAGTCTGAGTTTCTGCTATATGCAAGTTCATTCTGTAATTGATTATGTAGGTCATAACTTAAATGGGATAAATTAGTTCCGAGGAAATTGATATTCGTAGCTGGATTACTGTAAAAAGGATCATCACAAAGTCCGAGCTCAAACATAGACGCTCGATTTTTTCTTTGCAGTCTTTTCACCAGTAAAATGAATCTCTTCCTTTCACCAAGTTTTAATTGATCAAATGGGTATTCGTAGAAATCTCGATCGATAAGTGATAGAAGACATTGTCCATCTATGTCTTGTGACTTACATATTTCAATTATGCGGCTGGAAATTTTGTCTTTTTGTAATAAATCTAAAACTTCTTTGTTATGCCAATTTATTATGTCCAATTCCATATTTACGCACAACCGCTAATTTGCAAACTTGATTTGTTCGGATTATTAAAACATATTCTTCAACAAATTTATTTTTAAGACAAGCTTATACGCAAAACTGATTTGAACTAAGTTGGTTCGAAACATTGTTTATAATATATTGTCACAAAATTTAATTTATAAGTGTACAAAATATAACACATAAATGTCAGTTTCAGTTGTCAGATGTGACTTGTCACTTGTCTTATAGTGGCACTTCACATGGCTATTTGGTATTTGTGATAGTGGCACTTCACATGGCTATTTGGTATTTGTGATAGCATGTTGCCGTATTTGGCAAAAAAATTGACGTAAGGGCAAATAAACGATATAACCGTCCACACATGGAGCCAAATACCAAAAAATGAAACATGTTTGCCAGCGTAAAGTAGTTGTACCTATAAAATGGACGTTGCACTTTCAGCTGGATTTTATTATTTGAACGCATGTTACTATTACATGTTATGCGTAAAAAAATACAAAGTGATAAAAAAAGACCAAGAGCAAGGCGATGGTGGATGCTGACTGTGCATAAAAATCGAACCAAGTAAGTAATTTGTTTATTTCATTTGTAGAATGACTTTTGCATGACACGCAAATCATATTAACGAAAATTCCAATAAAATAAGAACCTAAATCTAATTAGTATATACAGAATAGAATAGAATAATTTTTTATTCAATATAGATCACATGTGTAATTCTTATTGAAAGTATTTTTTTACTTTACCACTGGTTGGAAAAAAAAACCCTCTGTCCTGAGAAGAACTAGCAAGAAATCCAGCAGGATTTTTTTAAAATAAATTTTACAATATAAATGGTTACAAACTATTTACAATTTATTTTAGAAACAGATTGCAAGCGACTACCTCGTTCCCAGGGTTTATTATCAACCATGTATTCATTTATATTAGCCCTTTTTATAGAGTTTTTCATTAATTAAATATTTAAACTTGGTAATAGCTATGGAGTGTAGAGTAGACACTCCATAGTAATAGCGTATACATTGCCCCAAGAACGGGTTACTGACTTTATGGACTCGAGATATAGGTCACTAGCTTGTGTTTGTTCCTAGTGTTTACAGAGTGTATATCACTTTTTACTAAAACTGTCTATGTTCTTGTGAACATACATAAAATTTTGGTAAATATACTGAGAGGCCAAAGTTAATATATTAATTTCTTTAAATTTATCTCTAAGAGACTCCTCGGTTTTAGGTTGTAAATACACAATAAAAGTTATTTATATTTCCAGGGAATCTATGGAGACAAGGTTTCAAGAAATGTTAGCAGAACCCTCTAACGAGTTTGATAATTTCTGCCGAATGTCTTATGCAGATTTTAATTTTTTGTTACAAAAAGTCCATCCCATAATTTCTAAAAAGGATACAAAATGGAGAGAAGCTATACCTGCAAAAGTTAGATTAGCGATTACTTTACGATTCCTTGCATCAGGAGACAGTTATAGAAGCCTTCACTATACCTTCAAGATATCAAGTCAAATAATCTCAAGAATTATAATGGAAGTGTGTGCTGCTTTATATCAGGTTCTAAAGGATCAAATCAAGGTAAACAACATATATAATTTTCATTAACTTTTATTAATCGTAATCAAATTATTTTTAAGTAGGTATTAAATATGCTATTAATTATTTTTCCCTCGAGGTATTTGCGATGGTGATGGTGTATACGACACCATTCTAGAAGTAGGATTCGGTAGATTCAAAGGAGTATCATTAGAGTATTCTGAGTATTCAACATGATATGCAGGAGAAGGAGCATCCATTTGCGGTGAAGATGACGTATACAAAACCTTTGTAGAATTTGGATAACTGTTAACACAATTAAGATATTCCACTTCTGTCGGAAATGCAACCTGTGGAGGAGATGCGATATTGCTTTGCGGTGGTGATGGTGTATACGATAACATTGTTGCATCAGAATTAGGTTGACTGGTAGCAGAATTCAGAGATGCCACATCTGTCGGATATGCAACCTTTGGCGAACTTGCAACCGCTGACGGAGATGCGATATTGATTTGGGGTGGTGATGGTGTGTATGATAGCATTGTTGCAGCAGAATTTGGGCGACTGGAAGAATAATTAGGCAAATTGAAGTTGTAGACGTGTTCATCGACAAATAGCTCATGTATTTTTGCCATCATGATGTCTCGGCGTTGTTCAGAAAGTTTTCGTAGCTTTCTAGCCACAAGTACCCCAAAGGTAGAGCATTCATCATCTTCATCCTTTAGCTGCAGCTGGGAATGTTGCTTCATAAAACTATATGCTTCATCCATTCGTTTTTTCGCTTCTATAAGTTCAGGTGGATTATTTTGTCTTCTTCTATGCAATATTGGTCTTGCTGTTGAACCCTGTTGTTCATTTGAATTTAATTCCTGTTGTTCTTGGCTTCTAATATTTTGATCTATAGGGCCCTGTTCTGTGTTTTGATCTTCATTAATCGTAAGTTCTTCATCCTGCAAGTATAAATAACATTAATATTTTTGTTACAGTTGCCCGTGGTAGAACAAGACTGGTTGGACATAGAAGGTGGCTTCCATCAACGTTTCCCGCACTGCATAGGTGCGATAGATGGAAAACATGTAGTGATACAGTCTCCAGTTAACAGTGGCTCAGAATATTACAACTACAAAAAAATCTTTTAGCATCGTTTTATTAGCTTTGGTTGATAGTAATTACTGCTTTATGTATGCCGACGTGGGATGTCAAGGGAGGATAAGTGATGGAGGCGTTTTGAAAAACTCCGTTCTGTGGAATAAAATAAACAATAATACGTTGGGGCTACCAGCACCAATTCCACTACAAAATGGAAATGGTGACTTGCCATATGTATTCTTAGGTGATGGAGCATTTGCCTTACATAACAATATCATGAAACCATATCCAGGGAATCATCGAGAAGGCACCAAAGAAAGAATTTTCAACAAGAAGCTTTCATCAGCCCGTGTTATCGTTGAAAATGTATTTGGTGTTATGTCTGCTATATTTAGAGTGCTACGTTCGCCTATGCTACTTGAACCTGAATCAGCTAGCCAAGTAGTCATGGCGTGTGTAGTTCTACACAACTTTTTGAGAAGAAGTAGACTGTCTAGAAATGTATATAATCCACCTGGTACATTCGACCTGAATGATGGAGACGACTTAATAATACCAGGGTCATGGAGGGCCGATATTCCCAACAACCCAGCACTGCGTGATATTCGTAACATTCCTAGAAGATCTCCAAGGAATCCAGTCGAAATCAGAAACGACTTTGCTAATTACTTTTATAATACATGAAACTGATTGATCTGTAAACTTACCTATCTGTTTATTATTTGAAAATAAAATAAAATTATTATTATAAAATTTATAGGTAGTTATATTTTTTTTATAGATAATAATAATAATAATGTCCTCCAGACCGAATTTCGGCCACGGCGGCCAGCCTCAACGGAGACTAGCCATCTGCGCAGGACAGGATTATAGTGCCCAAGTGTATGCGCAAGCACAGGAGCACTCTCTATTCCCTCACTCTCATAGCCCGATGGGACGGTAAACCGACACGACCGGAGAGAGATCGGGCGTAGGACCAACGACTTTACGTGCTTTCCGAGGCACGGGGGTGAAACACCGCCAACTTCCTGACTCCAGGCAGATACTGAGAATTTCTTGATGGAAAAACTCAATAACTGATTTTTTTGGCCCGACCCGGGATTCGAACCCGGGACCTCATGATCAGCAGTCGCACTACTACAACCACTAGACAAACTACTTTGGAAATGATTACAGTAATACATACAGTGGTATTTTACTTTGTGTTTTTATCATCATACAACCAGTTTAAAATATCTTTCTTACTAGCTTAGCTAGCTTAGCATGTAAAGGTAATATTATAAATGGACATATTATCCCCTTATTCATCTTGGCTTTAATCATATTTATTTAATTAGTGTAGTGGTGTTTGTGATGTATATTCACTAATTAATTAACTATGTAAAAATAGTCTCCACACCATGTTTGTTTGTCTGCTGTGCACCATTTTTTGCCAGACCTACTAAAAAGATTTTCCATCAATCTTAAAGTACCTATAAACGCTGAATGAACCTACAACTTTGTTTTATACTAATTTTAAGCTATTCTATTCTATAATATGTACTATTCTAACTCATAATATCGGTGAATACTACTAGAAAATAGTTTTTAGTTTGTTTATAGGTTATTGTGATATTCATATTTTTATTTTTAATTTTTCAGTATTCCCGTTAGATGCGGTAAAACTAATATTAATTTTGTAATTTATAGATGATAAGGAATAAATTGACATGCATTTCATTAATTGTAGCTAAAATTTGTGGTGGGCCCATTCTATATACAAAAAGAAATTGTCTTCTATAAATGTATTATTACTTACCACAGTGTTTATGGTACTGTTGCAGGTATAAACAGAATTCAAAAAACTATCCATGAATGCAAATGCAAACCAACTTGGTTGATACACATCGGATGCACCTGATCCGGATCGTTCGCTTTTCTTTATTTTGGTTTTGTAACCTCGGTACGCAGACATAAGCGACTCCTTCTTTTTTTTAAATCTTGCAGGGTACATGGTACACCCAAATTGTCTTTAATTGTATTCCACGCGTCGTTTACTCTTTGCCGGTTTTTATGCCCCTCGTTTCCAGGGTCCCAAATGCATGGGTTCATTTGGTAAAGTTCTAAAAACCTTACAACGGTTTCTTTGTCCCAATTCATTTTCCGTATGTATCTAAATAATTACTTATTAAGGTTATAAACAGGTCCGTCCGTACTGGTTGACAGTTCGCGCGCTTATGAGCCCGACCATGTGTGGCCAGTATATTTGCGTATTTGCCTATTTGTCTCCTTTGATGTGCCTTAAAAAACCGACAGACGATCGGTAAGCCGTATTTGTTATTGGCTATATTTGCCAAATAGGCAAATACGGCAATAATTATGGCAAATAT